AAAATAACCAATATAAATCACACGTATAGTAATTGTAGTTAACATTCATCCAGCTTGGATTCAAACAACCAACCTTCAATATTACAACACACTGACAGACACGCGCAAACGCGCACGCACACACGCACGCACCCACGAACTTATATCTATGCACACATGGAAAAAAAATATTTAGTGTGTGTGTGTGTGTGTGTGTGTGTGTGTGGTGTGTTCGTGCGTTGCTGTGGCGTGTGCGTTAGCGCGTGCGTTGCGCGTGCGTGTCTCGTGACGTTGTTCGTTAGCGTTGCTGCGATTAGTTAACACTCTAGATACATAGAAAATAAACACATTTATTCTACAAATTAATTTGCATTATAGTTGATAGTTATTATTTTCTATAATTTATAAAAACATGTGTTTTTTCATGGAAAACACATCAGAACTACATATCTAAGCCTACTCTGATCGTGTGCCAAGAACAAACGGTGTAGCGAGTTGGCGGTTGTTCTGTATTTGTTTAAAATACGTTGAGAGTCATGAGTCATGACAGTCGCTTTCTTGTAAATGCTGCAGAATAATTCTGAAGGGCGTGTCGTTTCTCTAGATATTGTGGTTACTAGGGCCTAATCATCATGAAAATGCATCAGTTCTGTGATATCATGTAACAGATAAATGTGTTATGAAGTTTGAGTTTTGTGATCGATCTCATCGAGAAGCAGCCCTGTGACAGCAATTAATGAAATTCCTGTACTGTAGCAGCTTAGGCTGTTAATAGTTTATCTGTAAGTATTTCGCCCCATAATAACTACTGCGATCCCGGCCCACATCCGAGGTCGGGAGGACGCGCATGCGCGTTCCCCAAAATCTCGCGGTTAAAGGGGTTATTTTTCGGCGCGACAAAAATTCCGGGCCCAAGAATTGTAAAAAAGGGGTGTATTTGTAACTTTTCACCCGGAATATTTCTTTGAAAAAGGGGGTGTTTTTTCCTCTTTCCTCTTCATCTTGAATATCATAGAAAACTTTATCTATAATCCCAGGGATTAAATTACTGAAAGATTCTGCTAGTTTTGAAAGCGATCATTCAGGATTATTTATATTTGAAATCGTAAAAATATGTGCGCTCCTAAGTTCCCTCGATCAGCTGAACTCTATAACTACGTAGTGTAGATGTAGACGGTTCGACCGTTCAGCACGCTACTACTAACGTCCACTACGGTGGAATGAGAACCTCACTCTGAGATAGGGGTACTGAGCAGTGTTCCGGATTAAAGGGGCTGCCAATGCAGGAAAACCGCGAAATGGGGGTTCAGAAAAATTGAGCAGTCCTGAAGATAGGGGTGCTTTCAAAGGGCATAATGCGTACCCCTAAAATGACACTGAGTGGGGGGGGGGCTGCAGGGACTGGCGATGCGTGACAGTGTTCTGTCAACGGCTATTATTCGTAAGAGGCAGCTGCTCGTCTTAGCATTAATTACTTGCTAATAACTGTAACGATGCCTTCTGACAACTGAGCCCCTGGCCCTGCATCCGCGCGCTTAGGCTAGTCGTCATGCGCGGAATGCTTTCCTTTCGTAGGAGCAATACACTACTAAACTAGTACTAACATAGGTTATGCCCGTACAACCCCCCGTTCTTTCTCGTCTGGCTAAGTAGGCAGTGGTACTCTCCTCCTCTACACTTTTCTTACTTACCCTAGGACGTCGCTCTGCTACCTTTCCTCTCCCTTCTGTGCTTCCCCCTAGCAGACTATCCATGCTCCTCGTATTCTAGTGCTTTTTCTTCTCGCACTATTCTTTCTTACCCCTCATATCCCATTTATCGCCAGATTCCGCCTCCAACCTACTCCCCTTTATCCTGTCCTTTTCCTACTCCTTCCTCTCCATCTACTACTTCCCAATGTTCTGCCTCTCGTCCTTTCTCTTCTTTACGTCCTTATTTCTTCTCCACTCATAGCCCTCCTAACCCCGTTCTATGCGCGTCCACCTCTCCTCTATCAACTTTATTCGCAACTCTCATGTCCCCTCCCCCTCCAGCACTCTCTCCTCGCTCATTTATCCTAGCTTTTCTGTCACCTGCCAGACTTCCGTTCCTATCTAACCTCCTCTCTCCTCCACCCATACCAGCCATCGATTTCATACCCCCTCCTTTTCCAACAAACTCCTCCAGCTCCTTCTCTCTCTACTCGTCCCATTCCCTTATACATCCTTTTCACGCTCTCCTCTCACCTCTCCTTCCCTTCTTCACATCTATCCCCTCATCCCATGCTTCTTCTCGCTGCATTATTATTTCCTCATACTTCTTTCTGACTCTTCTCTCTCCGGTCTCTCCTCTCTGCTCTTATCTTAGATAAATCTTTCTCCGATCTCTCTCTCCTCTCTTCTCATCTCTTCCTTTCTCTTTCTGCATCTGTCTCTGTACCTCTCTTTCTCTTCTCTCATCATCTCTCTCCTCCTCTCTCTCTTTCTCTCTCTCACTCTCCATCTCTCTCTCTCTCCTCTCTTCTTTCCTCTCTCTCCTCTCTCTCTCTCTCTTTCTGTCTCTCTCTTTCTCATCCTGCTGCTCTACCGTCTTTTCTCTTCTTCACTCTCTCTCTCTCTCTCTCTCTCTCTCATCCTCTGTGCTCTGCTTCCCCTGTCCTATCTTTGTGGTAGCAAACCGAGGTTTACTATTATTTGTTACCAATTTTTCTGCAACAAATTTTCTGGATACCTGCAACTATAGTCACATTATCACAGTGTCACAACGTCCTATATAGCATATTCATAAAAAAATTAATTCATTATATGCCTGAACACAATATGTCCGTGTTATGCAAATACCGCAGCCAGAATATATATTGGTTCAAAACTGAGTATACGTAACCTTCTTGGTACTTCCAAGCCAAGAAGCCCACCTTCTCTGGCAAACTAATCCAAAATATTAGGAGCAATGACCGGTTATGGGCAATAGGCACGTGTCTTTGTATGTCTTACATCAGCTTGTTAAGATCCACTTCTGCGTTATTTGTTTCTTTTTCTTCTCAGCTCGCCTGGTTACATTGGAAAGCGGCATGTGCTAGTCAGAGACACGAGAATCTGCACTTGTTTATAGTTATTTTGTCTGTAAACACTGTCAGTGAAAACAGATACTGGACACGTTTCTGGTGTCAGTGCTAGAACCTATCGGCCAGTGGTAGTCAGTAGGGCAGTTTATGTTTCATTTGCGTGTGGAAGATAGCTTACACTTGAACAGCTTGAAGAAACTTGAGTCATTGGCCATGTAGTTCCTGTTATCATATGATGCAGCTGTAGACTGCCCGTTGGATAAGAGTTGCGTTCACATAGGAGGGCATGCCCCATCAAAAACGATGACATGCTGCAATAGTATAATAACTATTCAGCTGTTTTGGATATGCACAGACTTGTGAGTCATAATGGGACTCAAAAATAGGAAAAAATCTCCTCCTTTACTTCTTCCTCCACCAGCATGTTCGAACACTTATTTGCTACATATCAATTGCTAATATCTTAATTATCTTATCTTGCTATGATGAATTTGGAATGATTTTAATTTTTTTTAAGTGATTTCAAACTAATTACGAAACCCAAGGTTTGCGCATGCCTGTTTATTGACACGTGATATCAGACAGACAAAACTTCTTTTGCAAAACACCAGCTAGCCTTCTTTTCGTGTTCTGTGAGACGCAGAAGAAATTGTACGCTGGTTTTTGCACTGGTTATGCAGTTGTTGAAAGAAATGTGCTAACTCATGCAGAAGCTCACAAAGAAAGGCAAGAAAAGAGGTAATCAAAGAAACATCTTGTGTTGTGTAGATAAGGTGTTGATATGTTGAGACCCGCCCAAGCACTTAGGCCCAGGTTTATGCCTTGTACGTCTTTGCTCAAATTTATCCTGCTATGTTTTTAATCAGCATGAATGGCATTTAATTAATTTCTCGTGCATATGCCGTACCATATGTTGCATATAAAATTAATTAGATCATTATAAATATCTCGCGTAAATATCAGAAATCAGGCTAAAAGCATGTTCAGTGTTACACCTAATTAGGGATTGTCATACATGTAGCAGTGAAACTGGTCGTATCACTAACACTATCTGTAGCCTGTATAAACTAAGCTTGGCTTGCCACTGCTATTCTTGGTCACTCTAGTATCAATATCCTGCTAATCCTTGATGTCAACCTCTGATTATGCAGGATCAGGGTATCCTATGCGCGCGAGATACCCAATCTTGCACTTTCTAAACGTATGTCAGCTGTCGCCCATAGTATACTTGCAAATTGGCAAGCCCTCTAAACCATTTAGCACCAGGAGTGGAGCGGACGTGCGCTGTTGTTGACCACCGCGTCTACTGGTCAGCACAAATGTCAATGAGCTGTACATATCACACACGTGTGAAAAGAAAAGCACCTCAGGAAAGCTATTATCAACCCTAGAAAGACAAAGAAGGCTTTGTGAGGAATATGTGTGGCGCGCTACAGGCCTACTATGTAGAAAAATATGCTACCCTTAAAAATTTTGTAGGAGAATGTGCGTGTGTGAATGTGGGCTCTTTCTAACATTAATTGTGCAGATATCGCATAATAAGTAGGCCATTTAATCGTTTTCTGATTAGCACACATTGTAAGTAGACCTGATTTCATAATCAGTAATCAATAATCAAGGCGTGTGGCGGTTTCCCGGTCCGCTCACATAGACACTTATCGTGATATATTACCCAAGCGATTAGGCAGGTAAACCTATCTAGTGCAGATCACGTATTATTTGTAACGTCCCGTTCCCTATATTGGGAAATCGCTGAATTGCACCTTCCAGTCTAGTTATTATACGGATTACCCGCACGATTAGGAGTCTTTACACTACGCAAGTAGCGTCACATCATCGGTAACCCTACTTGCCGACCGCAATTTTCTAGACGGGGCACAATACTATTGAAGTCACTGATAGCGTGCGGCAGTTGCGTGTGGAGGTACAGTCTATAGCTCACCGTCTTCCGGCTGCGAGCGAGGTGCTAGCACATGTTCTTCTGCACTCGCACTGTGGCAGAGTGAACGCTCGCGAATGCAAGGATGCTCTGCTTGCGGTAGCACAATTTTACTTACGTGCAATTTTACGGTGTTTCATGTGCATATAAGAAAAGTTTACAGCGAGAGAGAATCGCGAGGACAAAACGTTTGAGGCGAAAGTACTTAGGTGGGAACTATTCCAGACAATTCTTGGCAGTTATCCCTGAGCGGATCTCACCGACGTGTAAGTTGCAGTTCATTGGTTTTTTGGACGTGGATCGTTAGGCGTAGTCCCACGTGTACTCGTTGACTGTGCACCCATTTATGGTATTCTGTGATGTACTCTGTAACAGTGTGAGGTGGCGTGACAAACGGGTCCATCGAAAAATAGTTGATAACTTGAAACAAAGAAACTTAGCACTCAGTAGTATAGTTCAAAAAGACACATCAGTCACTCCAAAGCTTTACTACTGTTATGTACTAATTAAGGTAGTGCTATTGCCACTGCTATCAGGTAGCAAGGTTATACTTATAGTGCTTCTGCTAGGTTAGGTATCGCGTTGTGTGGCTATTGTCAGTATTGACTATTGATATGTTACGGTTATTGATGTTATTACTAACACTAGGGCTAGCGTTAACCATATAGCTTTCTAGACTAGAAGCACATGTGGCTGTAGTTGGTTATATTACTATTAGTATTAGGCCACTTCATATCAGGAGTGCATAATAGAAAATAGAGTTCATTTTCTATTATGGACTCTTGTTTATATCCAAAGGTCCGTAATGCATCAAGCATACGTTAGGACCCATATCAGGGGCGTGTACAGGGGGGGGGGTGTCCGGACCCCCCCTGCTCGCGCAGAAAACGCATCTAAGGGGGTCTAATTTCAAACTTTTTATGGGGGAGGGCCCCCCAGACCCCCCCTTCGCGTGCTCGCAAGTTTGGGTTACGGTTAGACCCCCCCTGGTACAAATCCTGTACACGCCCCTGCATATGCGTATACCTAATGGAGTTAGGATTAGAATCTTAGATTAGATCGTTATGGTGACGGTGATTGTAATGTATGTATTGGAGTGCTAAAGTATTGTTCGGCTATACTCTACTGTACAACCTGCATAGATATGCTGGTGCGAGAGCGTACTTAGGCATATATGTTACTAAAGAAGTGCGCACTTAACAATTACTGCTGTCCTTGTGAGAATGTGCTGGAAATATTGAATCTATTTTCACATGCACCCGACGACCGTCTGATTATGTGTCTGTACCCAATTACATGTACGGATATTCGAAATAAAAACCCAGTGCAGATAAATATAGCCGCCCGCCTTTCAGAAACTAAATTGATAGTTTTTCTTTAGACACGAATTTCTGTTAATCACATGCACTAACTTGTCATTTATACCACAGCATTCAAGCCATTCTATAGGTGTGTAGAGGTAGAATGGACAGTTGTAACGCATCTTGTACGTATTTGCGGGTAGCCACATCTAGTGGTCAAAGACAGCTAATCAAATTTCACGCTGCCTTGCAATATTAGTGTTTGCCCTAACTGGCTGCCATACCATATCATAGATACTTTGTGTGTCCAAAAGCCGACTTCAAACAAATCTAGCCGAGTGAGATGCAGCACTAGGCATCCTGTAACTTAAAATTGATACTTCATGCGCTTTTAGACGTTTTTTGTGTGTAAAGTTCATATGGCTTTGGTTCCGATCCGGTTGGCACTGCTAAGAGTTTTTCAACATGGTTATGCTCACAGTGCTCTAACACCAGAACGTAACTTCCCCGTTGACTTCTCAATTTTAAACAAAAAAGTTGCAGCAGACAGAAGAAGCTTGTTTAGAGTCTCTCTAAGATTTTCGTTTCCTGTGGTGATAGTTGGCCATAAATGTATCTTGGAGATCAAATGACATCGTGTTTTTTTTAATAGTTTTGACAGAGAATGACTACTATGTGATAGTAGATTAGAATAATCCTGCTATAAAAACCAGTCTTCTTTCCTTCTCCTCCTCCTCTCTCTCTGTCTCTCTCTCTCTCTGTGCTCTCCTTCCTCGTCTGTCACACACTCTTCTCTCTCTCTCTTGCTCTCTCTCTCTCTCTCTCTCTCTCTCTCTCTCCTCTGCGTCTCTCTCTCTCACTACTTCTTTCTCTCTCTCTTCTTTCGCTTCCTCTCTCTCTCCTTCTCGCTCTTCTCTTCTCTCTCTCCTCTTCTCTCTCGTCTTCTCATACTCTCGTCTCTCTCCCACTCTCTCCGTCTCTCTCTCTCTCTCTCTCTCTCTCTCTGCTCTCTCTCTCTCTCTCTCTCTTCTCTCTCTCTCTCTCTCTCTCTCTCTCTCTCTCTCTCTCTCTCTCTCTCTCTCTCTCTCTCTCTTCCTCTCTCTCTCTCTCTCTTCTCTCTCTCTCTCTTCTCTCTCTCTCTCTCTCTCTCTCTCTCTCTCTCTCTCTCGTCTCTCTCCTCTCTCGCTTCTCGCTCTCGCTCTCTCTCTCTCTCTCTCTCTCCTCTCGCTCCCTCTTCTCTCTCTCTCTCTCTCTTCTCTCTCTCTCTCTCTCTCTCTCTCGCTCCCTCTCTCTCTCTCTCTGCTAACAACTACTCGGTCTCAGGCTGGTAACTACGTAATTTAAAAAAAAATTGGTGCCCGTTGGTTATTTTCACGTGGCCAAATTATGTTTAACCTGCCCTATCGATCGCGATAGAGCTCAGTATTTGTCGCTGTGGCGACTTGGCGCGTTTCAATAAAATATAATGCCTAAATAAATACGAAATCTATTTACTACCAAAGTGCTTAATGTTTCTTTACTCTCTTTCACCTATTTTTTGCTGACAATTTGCTGTAAATGCCGTCAAATGCTCATCTGGCAACACACTGTCACACGCTGGCCGCCGCCACACACTAGCTGACATAAATATATAGTCTATTATTTTATTATTATTTTATTATTATTATTATAAACTATACATTTATGTGTCAGCTGTGCAGCAGATAGCGTGCGGTGTACTTGTGTGTTGCAATGAGCATTTGACCGGCATTTACAGGTGATTATCTAGGCGAAATAGAGTAGAAAACATTACACTTTGGTAGAAATACATTTCGTGTTTATTTACCTTTTTATTATTTAATTGAGACGTTCCAAGTGCCTGTGGAGCCATCGGTTGATAAGAGCGCGGTGTGGTTTGTGGATGAATCCAGAGTTGCTGACCTCGAAAATATATATAACTCAGTGGATATATCCTGTAGATTTCGTTGCTGTACTAAATACATACACTGCAGACCATCTTCCACCCCCAATAAAAAGTAAACTATGCTTTTAGATAACGTGCGTATAGTGAATGATGACGAAGCATACCGCATGCTGTATTATAACTTGCTGCTTGCGCAGCCTGGGTTAAATGTAACCAGATACCGTCGTAACATGGTAAATTGCCACATGTCTGAAAAATATGCTGAAATGTATTTTATTTGGGTGCTATGTGCACAGGCACGTGGAAACGTTTCAATAATAAAATGATGGTTAGTAGGTAAACGCGAAATGTATTTACTACCAAAGCTTAATGTTTTTCTACTCTCGTTTTACTCGAATTTTTTTATTCTGCGTGCGGCTTGTGTTGTGTGTTGCAGTCGAGCATTTGAACGGAAATTTCAGCAATAATAAACAGGAAAATTATCAGTAATAATAGGCAAAAGAAAGTAGAGAAACATTAAGAGTTAGGTAGTAAATACATTTCTTGTTTATTTACCATCATTTTATTGTTAAAACGTTCCATGTACCTGTGTGGCTATGGGTGCGTTAAAACCTACTGTTCTTTTGAGAGTGATGTATATACACACATGTATATATATACGCCAGGAGTAGATAATAGAGAATAACTCTCTATTATGTGCTCTTGATATATTGCTGCCAACCCTGCTGTCAAATATATGACATTCGAATTAAGGTTCAAGAGGAAGTGGTAGTGGAGGAGGAGGGGGAGAAGGGGAGGAGTAGAGGACGAGGGATAATGTAGTGGGGGGAGGAGGAGGGGGAGAAGGGAAGGAGTAGAGTGGTAGAGGGCGAGGAAACGGTGAGTGGAGGAGGAGGAGGGGGAGAAAAAGGGAGGCGGTAGAAAAGGGGGAGGTGGTATAGGAAGGAGGTCGAGGAGGAGGGTAGGAAGGTGGTCGAGGAAGAGGGTTAGAAGGTGGGGGGGGAGGAGGTAGAGGAGAGGAGGGGAGGTGGGGAGTAGGGAGAGAGAGGTAGATGAGGGAGAGAAGGTAGAAGAGGGAGGAGGGGGAGAAGGTAGAAGAGGGAGGAGGTGGAGAAGGTAGAAGAGGGAGGAGGTAAGCGGATGGTGGACAAGGTGGAGGAAGGTAGAAGAGGGATAGGTAGAGGATGGTGGGAGAAGGGGGGAGAGGTAGAGTAGGGGGAGAAGGTGGTGGAGGAGGAGGTAGAGGAGAGGGAGAAGGTAGAAGAGGGAGTAGGTAGAGGATGGTGGGAGAAGGCGGAGGAGGTAGAGGAGGGGTAGAAGTGATGGAGGGAGAGGGAGTAGGTAGAGGATGGTGGAGAATGCGGAGGAGGTAGAGGAGGGGGGAAGGTGGTGGAGGAGGTGATGGAGGAGAGGGAGTAGAGGATGGTGGGAGAGGCGGAGAGGTAGAGGAGGGGGAGAAGTGGTGGAGGGAGGAGTAGGGAGGTAGAGGAGGGGGAGGGGAGGAGTACACTGTGGGGAGATAGGGGAGAGAGGAAGGGGATTCTTTAAGTTTGTGTAATAACATCAGCCATCCAGTATACATAGCACCAGAAGTACATTATATACGTGTATAACAATTATAGATACGATATAAAATACAAAAACCTTGTAATAACCTGCCTGTCCTGTCTCTACGTACTAATACTACTATGTGGTTTCATTTGCATTTGTTTGTAGGTTTAACTGCGAGAATGTCAAGATGATCTACACTTACTGAGCAGTGGATTATTTTTTCGTGAAAGAAAAATAACTTGCACGGGTAGAAAAAAGGCCGTGCTGAGAATACGCTAGTCTTCGCGCGTGCCGATCTTTATCAGCTGCTATGGGCCAGCTGCTATAGCATATGACTGACGCCTCTGCGCTGACCTGTAGTGCCCTTACGTTGTACTTCTGTTTTTAGAGGAGCTTGTGGGTTGTTATTTTTTACGGCACTTCTAAACACGAGTGTAGTTACCCGGAAGCTGCATGTAAATGACGCCTTTGAAGTGGTGCTGATCGAATGCTTGTAAGAGCTTTGACAGGAGGATAAGCAATCTATGTAATACAATATGACTAACGACAGCATCTAGAAGACAGAGTTGAGGACACTCCCCCCTCCCCGAGTAACTAGTCTGAACTCATTGTATCCCCCAACGAAAGTCGGCGGTGAGTACTATGGTTTCATGTCTCCCCAGCCGCCACCGCTTGGTCCGCCGCAGAGAATTTCCCTTCCGCTCTATAAACTCGATTCCTAATTGACCTAGCGCTACCAAACTTGGTATACTTACACATCTGGGAGCGTGGCAGAGGTATGAACGACCTTGCCTGATCATATCCCCTTCCGCTCTCTAACTTGGCCCATTGCTAGCGCTACCAAAACCAGGTCACTACACCTTTATTTATGACCTTACCTTGACCTTGATTATATTTCTCTTCCGCTCTATAACTCAGCCCCTAATTGACCTAGCCGCTAACCAAAACCAGGTACCCGCAGCCTTTATTTGACCTTTACCTTGACCTTGATTATATTTCCCTTCCGCTCTATAACTCGGCCGCTAATTGACCTAGCGCTACCAAACTTGGTATACTTACACATCTTGGGGAGAAAGTGTGTCGCGTACCGAAACCAGGTCACTGCAACCTTTATTTGACCTTTACCTTGACCTTGATCACATTTCCCTTTCGCTTTATAACTTGGCCCCTAATTGACCTAGCGCGACCAAACTTCGTATACTTACACATCTTGGGGAGAACACGGGGGATACAGGTAGTTGGCGACAACTGCCCTTTCTAGTTTGTAACAAATCACATGGTAAACCCAAATAGATATGAAATTGAGCGCCACTGAATACCGATACGATGCTGAGTACCGTGCACAGCTCATAACACACGAAACAAAACCTTATGACATTTTGATGCAGATCCAAATCATGAGCATTTGGCAGGTTTTCAATTATACGATTTAAAAAGGAAGGCACTTTCAAATACTGAAACATTTGGTTAGAGCCATCTAATAAGGGAGTAAAAATAACTTCCAGCATGTATGTGCATATGGCAAGGAAAAAATGTCAAAGAATGCTTGAGGAATTTTAAGTGTTGTTGTTTTTTTGAAAGCAGATAACATTTTTTTTTACAGGGACAAGTGTAGTAATCAGGATTTCTTCCTAGTTAATTTTAGAGTCGGAATTTTGTTTCAAATTGTGTACAAGTCAAGGATACTTGTTGTTGTTCTTTTTTTTGAAGTTTTCTTTTTTTCAGCTAATTCAATTGTTACCATATAGTCATGGTTGCGATCAACAATTAGAAAATGCAGTTTTCCTGGATATTATTTGGCAAAAGATACAATCGTGCAGTTATTGCATGGTTCATGTATTATATATAGAATGACATGTATAGAATGCATACATGTAAGCATTTCATATGCTTGTATTTTTATTTTTGCGTGTGTTTTTAGTGTGGAATGAATCATTGCCCATGCTTACACTAATTAGTGACTGCGGAATCATCGAATATGAATTATTGAAGGGGACTTTTATACAGCAGGGCTACGTGATTTATGTTTGTGTTTATATATTTCTAACATAAAGTTGCACAATTAACGCATTCATTAAGGTCTATGAAGAGTCATTGAAGACCAATTAAAGCATATATGCAGAAAGATAAGTCTAATTTTATTTCTTGTTTTTACAGAATCAACATGATACTGCGGCTGGCAGTAACGATAGAGTTGCTAATCTCTCTGCATCTAGTACTGTCATCCCAGGTAGGTATTTTAGTCTAGTTCTACCTTACCGATTGTTAAGCTGCCCGTTCTTGTCAACTTTTTCTGGCCACTGCGATTAGTTTCTGCCATATTTTCTTGTTGCACTGCTGTACTTACTTCGAAATAAATGTGCTATCTAGCATCGTTAATCATGTTGCACAGGCAAGTAAGAAATCGATTGATATAGTGGGATCATATTTTAGGCTAGGTGATTCACATTGTGGGGTGTTGCCGACATCTGGTTTCTCGTGATCCTGGTGGTAGTTAGAGATACAGCTGGTATTTATGTTCAGCCCGTGCGTGATCAAGCCGGAAGCCTAGACAAGTCTAGACCGTGTGAAACCTTGTTTTTTATACATGTTACTATGTATGAACAAACGTCCCTAACGTTGGTAGTGTATTTGTCTAACTTGTAATGTATATCTAGGCTATATACTTCAAGCGAATTAATAACTTCATAACTTCAACTTCAACTTAAAATAACTTCAAGCGAATTGCACTATAAATTAGCTAAAATATAATGACACCACACCATAATCCCCCGGTAATAAACACGATAGCTAGTGTTTGGCGTAAACCGACCAGGCTCTCCGACTGTTACACGGCGGAGGTACCTCTCGCCACGTAGTGTTAAGCGAGATGGGAACTTGGTGCTAGTGTTTGGCGGTGCTATAATATGGCTAATAGTAATAGGGTCTATGTCTCCCTGGGTACTGCCGGAACGTACCCTGGGTACTGCCGGAACGTACCCTGGGTACTCGCCAGAACGTGATCCCTGGTACCGGCGCGTATACGCGAACGTATACCTGATAACTATCTCATATGGTTAGTGTAGGAGTAGCGTAGGCGTAGGCACTCCTAAGACTCGTTATGTGGAAGTAGGCGTGGTACGGTCTATTAACCTAATTAAACCGCAATATTAAGCCTGGCGCACATTGCCGAACATTTTCACTGAACAAATGTTTTGTCTGGGCAAATGTGCGGGTAAACAAATTGCTGAGCGCGACATTGCCGGAACAGCTTTGGCAGCGAACAACCTCGTGGTGCCGTCTTAGTAGCTTATGTTGTAAAGAGTCACGTGATCGCGCATGATTGGCACAAAAATCATGTTGACCCACATATCGTGCTGCTATTGTTACTACTTTACAAATTTTCACTAAACTTGTTCTAGGCGCATTCAGCGCACATTGATAGAACATTCGACGAATCAAATGTTCGAGATATCAACGATTTCCGATTTCAGCAACATTGTCGGAAACTAAAGTGTCGCAACTTTTTTCCCACGCGCACATTGCCAAACCATTTCATGGAACATTGCACTGATAAACTGTTTTGATGCAAAATGTTCGCAATGTGTGTGGTACGGCCCTTTAGATAGTTAACGCAGGTAACGTTCCAGTATAACCGGACCACGCAGGTACGTCCGACAGTTACCCAGAGAGACATGCATAGACCCTGCTAGCCTATACATATGCAATAGTTACAGCAACTTAATCTTGTTTACAACTTTGCCTCCACCAAAACATTATCTTCGTACTCCTAGTGATGTAAATCCATATTTTCTGAGATTGATATTTTAGTGAGAAACAATCCGATACATAAAAGCATATAGGTGGTTAATTGCCACAAGCAGTATTCCCTAATTCGTCCAGAAACTTGCAAAATCCAACACGAAGCAATAGCCTTAAACTAGAAAGGTCACTGAAACCTCACGACCGCATCGTGTTCAGCCAGAACAACTAACATGCTAACTGCAAAGACTATACGAAACGCCAGTTTGACACTGCCACTTGCATGTAGACACACCTCACTCACATCTGAAACTAATTACACACACCACACCCCGCGCCACGGAGACTGTATTACGCAGGCACGAGACCAGTTGATAGCACAAGACAAAAATACAAAGGATGACCAAAGAATGGAAAAGCACCTAACGAAGAGATGAAACAGAACAAGAAGCAAAATAACGCAAAAAAAAGAGAAAAAAAAGAAAATAGCAGCACAGAATAAAGAAAGTGAAGATGGAAAAATAGAAAAGAAAACCAAGAAAAACAGAATAAAAACAAAAAACAACATTCGAGAATAAATACATAAAAAAAACTGTAGGACCGATGTGAGCTACACAACCTAACTAGAAGAGACATGTCATCACATAAACACACACACTCCCACATGAAAACAAGGAAAGTGTATTAAGAGAGTGGCAGAAGGAAGCTCGATGAGACAAAGGGAGGTGGACAACAAGAGATGAGGCGAGAGAGACAAATAAGAGAGGACACACAGATCGACAAAATAGAAGAGAGACTACCAACTACAGAGAGGAAAAAAATAATACGGCTAGATCGAGACGCACAGACAAAAATAAGCAGGAGACAGAGAGAACAGAGAGAAGAAAAGAAGTATAAAGAGAAATAAAGAAAGAACGGATAAACAGAATATATATATCGAGCAACGTGCTAACAATCACTAGGCGGGAATTGGATAAGTCGCCGCAACACACACTACCATGAGACGAAGCAAGAGACCGATATGAGTGGACAGCCGTCAAATCCCCAGCAGAGCAATTAATAAACAAGACACTAGACGAGCCACTACATAATAACACAACAACAGATACAACAACAGCAGAAGAACTGAATCAGGTAAAATTAGGGAGCTAAGATTAACAGACTCTTGAGTTAAACAAAGCATAAATATACTTCCTAGAGATAAGCCGATCAAATATCATGTAAGAAAACATCAGAATACAGCGTGTCGCCGAGAAGCAGGCGAGCCCACACACCACACCACCACCCGATGGGGAAAAACACAGTTTCATTAAAAACTCGCGACTACAGATGGTAGCAGGATGGAGTATGAGAGAAACAAAGAATTAGAGTAAAATATACGCAGTTATGATGATAATTTGGTCTAACAGCTCAGGCTACATATAGCGATTGATGCCGGGCGACTGGCGGTAAGCTCTCTCACATGGGGGGCATTGCGTATACCGCGAGCTGGGCCCACGATTGTTCCCATAAGAGATCAAGACATTGTCTAGGGAAACTGGATGGAGCGGGTGACTGATTCTCAATCATCTCGAATAAAAACCATCGTGGAACACTAACCACGGGCTTATTTGTTTACTTCTCCAGCGGCTATTCCCATTCTGGCGTCAGCGGCGCGCACCAGTGTTTGGCTCGGTTTTCGCGTGGAACGTTGCAGGCGGCTATAGTGCGCATTTCGTAGTCGTGCTGAAGCCAAGTTTAGTTAGCGAGCGACGGATGGAGAGCTCTGCTTCCAGGTCTCGGACCTATGTTTTGATTTCACCGGCGGACACTGGTGAGAGTGGATGCGAGGTAGTTGTTGTGGACTACAGATCCATACTTCTTACTACAAGGGCAGGGCTTGCGTTCTAGGATTGGAGTCACGGAGAATGCCGCCTGGCCCCACGTGTGTGCGGAGTACTGGCGCGGCGGCAATGGCGTGCGAAGAAAACCGGCGGCCGGCCTCCGCTTGTGCTATGCACAAAGCCTGTGGTGGTCTGGGTCTATGCCACAACTAATGTCCGCGGCCGTAGGAGTGGGAAATAAACCGGATGCTTCTGGGATTTAAAGTTTTCGCGAAGAGTGTTTGCTCGCAGCAATGTGCTGGCGACAGGCTCTTCATGATCGTTGTACCGCGTGTAGCGGCGGACTGGGCGGCGGGCTCGGGAAGAACAAAGCCGTGTGGCAGTCGCCACGATGACTGCGGCGAGAGGACGAGGGTTGGTATGTGCACATGTATCGTTGCACCGATGGTACAGGTGGCCGCGACGGTGCCAGGCTGCGATTAGAGAATGGTGTAAAAGCGGTGGTGAGCAGAAAGCGGCGGTGTAGCGGGCAATTGCCTGACAGGTTATCGTAATTGGCGCATAAGGACCTTAATTACTTCGACTGCATCAGTACAGATAGGGTCAAGGACGTAGGTCACGAGCGCTGTTCCTGTGATCGCTGGGTGGCGGTAGTCGCACGACTTGCAGTTGCGCCGGAAACGGCAAACCGACATCTTAACCATCGTTTAGGTAGCATAACTCTCGAGCAGGAGAATGAATAATAATAGAGTTCGGCATAAGCTGAAGTTTGGTTATGATGTGGAGTGGAGAGGTGCTATAGGTACTTGAGGTAGCTGGCAGGGGGTTATTTCCTAGGATTTTGAAGTTTACAGCTGGGGGCGCGGGGGCGCCGCGGGGGCGGGGTCAGGTTGAACACATCACAGTACAATCCATAAGGCTGGTACTTAAAATGAGGTCTGTTAAGAAGTCGACGCAGTTGCTGAAGAATCATTGAATTTGGAAGGGCGATACCAAAATCCATCTTTCGTTGCAGTTCGCTGTAGTGATAGTGGGGGTATAGGAAGGGTAAGTTGTATGAGTATAAGTATATATATATGGTAGATATAGGGTGAGTATATAGGTATATACGGTGTACAGAGAGTGTATGCGGCGCGCCGCGTACCTGCACCGGCGGCGGGGGGCTCCGAGCGGGGAGGCCAGTGTGTGGTGTGAATGCTGCGACTGATACGAGTGTGTGGTTGCGTGGGCGGGCGCGGCGTGCGGTGCGGGCGTGCCGTGGCGTGGCGCGGCGTGCGGGTGTGTGGTTGGCTGTGTGGGCGCTGCGTTGTTGTGGCCTGCGTGCGGGTGTACTGTGTTGCATAGCTGTGCATGGTTGGTGCCAGTGCTGTGCATTTTGTGCATGTGGTGTGGTATGTGTGTTGTGTGTGTGGATGTGTGAGTATGTGTCGTGTGTGTGTGGGCGCCGCGTGCGGGTCGTGCGTTGGCGTGCTGTGTGTGTGGTGTGGGGAGCAGAGAAGAGGAGGAATGTAGAACGGAGTAGCTGAGGAATGGAACGAGAAACAAGCCGAAGAGAGAAGAATTGCAAGAAAGAGCATCATGAAGGACGGAGAAGTGTAATCGCGCGCGAGATGCGCGAGGGAGAGATAGAAGGCGAGAAGAGAGAGAGAGGACGAGAGGAGGAGAG